AGTTTAATATTTTTGGTGGGGTATTTTTTCTTCTTTTTTTTTTTTGGTGGGGGGAAGATAATGGCTTTTGTTTAGGTGAGTGTGAGATGACTCTGGAACGTTCAGTTGGAAATATCCAATAGGTAATTAGCAATATTAGACTGAAGCTCTGGACAGAGACCAGAGCATGATACATAGATCTGGGAATTGTCTGTGTAGAGGCCATTAAGCCCATGATGGCTGGTGACATCACCAAGTGAGAGACTGGAGAGAGATAAAAGGACCTAGAACACAGCCTTGGGCAACACCTTCACTTCCAGGATTGGGCTGGATGATGAACCAGCTGAGAAGGAATGGGTGGAGAACTGGGAGCCAGTCTAGTGAGTATTGTCTCCCAGGGCTAGGAAAGAAGGAAACCAACATTTTGTTAAGGGCACATTTTGTGCTGGGCATTGGAGATGCAAATACTGTCCTGAAAGAGCTTACTTTTAATGGGGGAAGACAATATGCAAAGGAGACGTAAATTACAAGTCAATCAGACATTTGTTAAGCCTGTCCTATTAGTGTCTCTGTTGCAGGGGCTATGCTGGGTGCTGGACATACAAAGAAATGCAAAAGACCCTCCCTGCTCTCCTGGAGCTCACAGCCTAATCAGGGAGGCAATATACACAACCAGCTATGTACAAATGACAGCTACAAGATTAACTAGAAGTAATAACTAGAGGGAAGAAACTAGAATTAAGATCAGGAAAGGCTTCCTGTAGAAGGTGGGATTTTATCAGAGACATAAAGGAAGCCAAGAGGCAGAAATGAGGAAGGAGAAAATTTCAGGCCCTGGAGAGAGCCAGTGAAAATATCTGGAGTCAGAGGGCTTTCATGTGTGAGGAACATCAAGTAAGAAGACTGGAAATGATGGGGGGGGGTGTAAGCTGAGTCCCCAAGACCATTAGTCTGGGACTTTTCATTGGTGGAGATCAATGCCCTGTGCCTGTAATAGAGGTGGTAGATTTTAAAGTCCAAGCCAAACTTCTGACTGCTGTTTCCTGTAGGGGAAAGTGGAGCTAGGGCAAGTTTTGACTCCTTTGCAGTCACTAAATACCAGTTACATGATGCACACCTAGCAAATAGCTAACATTTATATGGCACTTACTTTGTGCCAAGTCAATAGCAAAACAAATCAGAAAAAGTGTGTGTGTGTATACATATATACATATATATAATATATATACATATATACATATATATATATATGTATGAGAAGCAACTCAGTGAGAGTTGGCAAGAGTGGGAGAGGAGAGAGATCCACTCTTTTCAGCGTTCTTTAGTCACCAGCTTTAAGAAAAGATACACAAGTATGAAAATCCTGAGATGAGAGAGTATTCAAGTGGAAAGACTGGTCAGGTATCAAATGCAATGGAGAGATCAAGAAGGATGAAGATGAGAAAAGGAAGGAAACAAGTACTTAATAGTCCCTACTGTGTGTCAGGCACTGTGCTAAGCACTTTACAAATATAGTAGTACCTCATTTGATCTTCTGTGACAACCCTGGGAAGTTGGTGCTCTTATTAACCCCATTTTACAGTTGAGGAAATTGAGGCAGATGGGTTAAAAGCGGCGTACCCAGGGACACACAGCTAGTAGCTGTTTGAGGCTGCATTTGAACTCAGGTTTTCCACACTCCAGGCCCACCTAGCTGCCAGGTGACCAGGGGATCCCATCTGGCAACTAGATTGCTGGTGGTTTTAGAGCAGGCTTTCTTAATCTTTTTGGTGTCACAGACCCCTGTGGCAGTCTGGTGAAACTTATAGACTCCTTCTTGAAGTAAAAAGTGTTTTTAAATGCATAAAATACATAAGATTATAAAGGAAAACATATTGAAATACAGTAATCAATGTAACTGGGCTTTCAGCATGCCCAGATCACTTAAGAGGGAGGCAATCATTGGGGAGATAGTAGAGAACCTGATTCTGGGGAAAGCCATTCTGCATCCCACTCCCACATAGATGGGAGTAGCTTCTCCATTGGCAGCATAGCTAAAACAGGCTGCATCTTTAAAACTACCCTACTGAAATCTCTCTTTTTTTGTCAAGGGTCCCTGGGGGTAAAGGACCTGTTTACTCAAATTGTAGGCACCATTCACTGAGCTGTGGGAGAAAGGCTCTCATCACCTTTTCCTTCTGCCTCTGAGAACTGAGTTTGGGGTTTTGGTCTGTCTGTTTCATTTGTCCTTTTCGGTTCTGTGGGATTGGACATTGGACTCTCTGAACCTGGAAACTGGAACCATGATGATTTTGAAGGTAGAATTCCAGGCCGGATGTTGCTGCTAGCCCAATGCACCTATTAGGATGCAAATCCAGGGGAGGAACCGAGTGAAGTTGGGAATCTGATCCCCGTCCCCTGCCCAGGGATTGTTGGGATATAAGGGGGGATTGTGCCTTGGAAGTATTGAGAGTGAGTGTTCAAAGGTATAGCTACCATTGAAGTAAATATTCCTTTCTAAAAGCTAATCTCAGTATTAAATGATTAAATGGAACTGGGGTGCAGGTGACCCTTAAAATGGGGGGAACACAATTGGTGAGGGCTTCAACCAAATAGCAGAGACCAGACACTCCCTAAGCCTTCTTAAGGGTACCCTTAAGGAGAACTCTGAGGAAGAAATGAAATGTAATAGACCTGGCCTTCAGGCAGTGGGGGCCAGGATAGTCACTGTTACACCAAAATATTTTTAAAATAAGTTTTTATTAATGTGTCCTTACATCACTTACATCACTATAGTTACTCCCCTCCTCCCCCTCCCAGACTATACCATATAATACTATACCACATAGTATTTTTTTAAAGAGTAAAAAAAAAAATCACAACTGATCAATACATTGAAAAAGTCCGAAAACATACAGTGTGTAATATCTGTGGCCCTCCCATCTCCATGAAGGGGTACATCAGGAATGTCCTCTCATTTCTTAGAGTTACACTTCTCAGTGCATGTAATCAAACTTTATTCATCAAAGCATTCAAATGCAATCTTCCCCCTTAGAGACTGTGATTCTTTCATGCCAGACTCTGTCCAAGCTGGAGGCTAGAGCAGGAGCCAGCCCTAGTCCCATCCTAGTAACAAGCTGATGACTGGGTCCTCAGGGGAGTTTTTTTTTTTCATACTTTTAACTATGGGTGTTCCTAAGTTACCACTTACTTTGACTGGTATTTGATTTCAAAATAACTGATAAAGATGTTTATATTTTTTCATTGATACTCTTTCTCATTATAAGGTCTACATGTTGATCAGTTGTTCCAAAAAATCAATGCAATCCAAGATGTTTTCTACATAGTTTTCTAATATATACATATATATATATATATATATATATATATATATATATATATATATATATATATATCACACCAGTGCTTGTCTTACTAAAGAAAAATCACTTAAAACAGCTCAGTGACAAAATACAAGCTTAAAACAAAATGGAACTGGCTATGTTAAGTTGATAAACTATCTTATTATGGTATTAAAAGTTATTCTCACTTCATTTATGTAGAAGGGTGTCTTCCTTCTTCACTTGCTCCCTGACAGTGGCAGTAGCTCTACTGTGAGGGGTAGGGAGAGGCCTCCTTTCCACTACTTTTATCAGTCTGGCAGCTGCATGCACATGTGTTAGTTTAAGCAAGCTTGAGACTGGATCTCAGAGCCCTGATAGTCTGCTACAGTGACTGAGATGAGATCTTGAGAAGGTTATTTCCAGCCTTAGAGGCTACCCTGTGAGTTTGGGAGCCCCCTGGCAATGACCAGTGCTTTTTGGAGAAGATGACCACTGGCATGAGCATTGACCCAGCTCTTTGGTCTGGCTTGCCACAAAACTTGAATGGACCTGGAGGGAGTTGATTGGACAGTACAGAGCTGAGGTAAAGATAAAATGTTAGTTTACTAGTCTCACAAAATACTTAATGTTTTAATATTTTAATGTCATCCTCCTAGGGGAGGATAAAAATAACTATATGCTATTCTGGCTTCTTGCTTAAGTTTTTGATAATGTGTACCCACGAATCTCCTGTGGATAAGCATTTATTTTGTGTGAAAGGAATGAATATATGGAGTATCTTTCTACTTACCCCTTTTGGGGAGAACCTAGACGTGAGCTAACCCTAAACTTTTGGTATTTTTCACAAGCACTTCAAGTTGGGGGTGATGGCATAAAAAGCCCAAGTGCAAAAAGAAAAAGAGCTAGATCCTTCTCTTCAGGGCCAGGCTTCCCCAAGAATGAAGCTGGTCTGTGCACTCCTGGGTCAAGAAATGATGCCCAGACAATCAGTGAAACAGATGGGGTATACAACTGCATTTGGTTTGCAATTGCAGTGCGGTGTAGTAAGCTAGTAGGTGATTCATCCTTCAGACCTATTAAACTGTTAACCAGTCTCTCAAGAGCTGCCAGTTTCACTTCTTGTTCATAAGGTGCAAACCACATAACATAATGTGAACTAAGAACCAATACCTTCATATTTCCATGCATTTGTGGTCCTAATCAAACATCACCCACAAATTGATAGCATCTCAAAGTTAAATAGCATCATACGATGTATCAATGTAGAACAGGTAGAAGAACTTCAAATAAGTGTCCTATTCAGAAGTGGGCTCTAACCATGCATATCTCTATGAGTCAGGAGATACAAGTTTCCCAAAAGATCTCTTCATCATCCACTTGGAATTCAGTCTTCTGAGGAACAAATTGGAGAGTTTCAGTCCACAGCCCAGTCCATTTATTCTGGAGGACAAAAAACCCTCCTGGTTATCAAAGATGCCCATCAGTGTCCAATGTTCAATTTTAGTGTCGGTTCCTGCAGAAGCACACTCATTCTGTTCTAGGAATCCCCTCTTCTCCTGGGCTGTGCTGTCTCCAAGAGGTATCTCCAAAATAGCACTGCCCGGTCACACTTCTCAACATGTTTTTAAAATCTGAATGATTTAAAGATAGAATCACCTAGTAAGTGCCCCCCCTACCCCCCACCCCACCCCCGCCATGTACTGGGGACAAATTGACATTTTTCTGCTATAGACGCAAAGACAACGGCACAAGTGCGAAAAGAAGCTAAGATCGGGGCCTGCCCCTCTGCGGCCGGCCCGATCAGAGCATCTTTCGGACCCCTACGCCTGGAAAGCTGGCCCGCTCTCCGGTGTAAGGTCCTCCACCTTCGGGGAATGGCACCTGTAGCACCCGGCCCTGTGCGGGTAATTGGTGGCTTTGCACTGGCGGCACACCCAGGCCCTGGGACCGGGCAAAGGGCTGTCCCTCCCCCCTCCAGGGCAGGCCAGGGTAAGCACCACGCCTCGGAGGCCCTCTCCAGGGGCCTGCAGCCGGTCCCCATACCCTCCCGGGCTCCTGCATTCCCGGGGCTTCCCTGGGGAAGGCTGCGGCGACGGCCCTGGCTCGCCCGGGGTAGGTGTGGCCCCCACGCAGTGAAAAGTGGCCTAGGCAAGGCAGGGGCTGGGCCCTGCACCAGGCACAGTCCCAGGCCCCGCGTCTCCTCTCCGCCCGCCCCCAGGCGCCGCAAGTCCTACAGATTCTCTTCCACCTGGGCAGGCACTTAAAGCGCTGGCCCTGCTGGCCCCGGGGGAGACAGCCCGAGCGTCCAGAGACCACCTCCTCCTGGGTTGGAGACTCGGCTGCTAGCTGCTTGGGCCCCCAGGGTCGGAGACCCTCGAGCCTGGGCTCCGCGGCTGGGCCGTAGCTCCGCTTGCCCTCGTTGGCCGGCCCCAGCTCCTTCCCGGGCCGGGGCTCGGCCTGCTGTGTACCCGACTGCTTCCGGAGGCTCTCGATCTCGGCCTGGCACTGATCGTAGCTCTCCTGCAGGTTGCGGCGGGTCTCCCGGTCCTCCTGGTTAGCTTTGAGAAGGGCTGCCAAACGGCCCTGGCCCAGCTCCAGTTCCTGCTTCATCTTGCCCAGCTCTGCCTTGAGCTCCTTCTTCTGGACCTCCCACTGGGCCTTGTCCTTCTCCAGCTGCCAGCAGCGCTGCTGCAGCTCGGCCTGGGTGGGCACCGGGCTGGGGGACTCCTGCTCTACTGGGGCCTCATTGGCCTCGGGGCCCCCCACTGCCAGATGGCCCCTCTGTAACTTCTCTGCCTCCCATGCCTCCTTCAGGCTTTGTTTCTCCCGCTCCAGCTGTTCACATTTACCCTCCAACTCCAAGCCCTTGGCCTGCCAGACGTTACACTCTTCCCTGCGCTGGGCCAGTAACTCTGTGCTGTCCAGACAGGCCTGCCACAGGGCCCAGGCAGCACTGGCATCTCACTGGCATCTGTTTGGCTTGGTTTCAACATAGAATTTATGGTAGGCCTCACTCGCTGTGACTGCAGGCCTCTCTGACTTAAAGTAGCCAGGCTGCCAGGGGCTCTGGCCCTTCTGGATCCAGAGCTCCAACAAGAGCTGGAAGTCTTCTGCCTTCAGCAGGGGCCCAGACTTTTTGGCTCGGGATGCCATCGTGATGTTATTGGTGATTTGAATTTCTTCCCTCCTACCAATTCTCTCTGTATTTCAAAAACAGTGGCACTGACTCTGTTTTATACAAACTGCCTTCCTCGATTTATCTTCCTGGTGCAGCAAATCCCAGGCTGCTGAAATTCAAAATTCAAATGATGGTGAAAAACTTAGGAAGGCTTAAAGAATATCAAGGAAGTGTCTTCCCCACCCCCTACTTCCCTGATCAAATTTTCATGGCTGAAACTGTTACTGTCTTTAAAGACTGAACTGATTGCAGTTAGACTTGGCTATGTTTGGGTCTCACAAGTTAGAACTTTGCCATCCAACTCTCAAAAATCAGCCCAGCAAGAAGAAGCAGGGAACATGAGGTTCAAGAGTTTCACATTTTAGGGAATGACTGATTCCCAAGTTAGAAAAACATAGGCCAGTCCAGAACAGTCCCATTTGAATTTTTGTTCCCAATGGCCTGAGGCTTTCTGCCCTGTTCCAAGAGTTTAATGAACTTAAAATCTTTTTGCTTGACACCAGTGCATCATGGCAGACCCAGCAGCTCTTGCTTTTCCAGGTCCTTTGAAAACAGAAATATACAAACGTTAAGCACATAGAAAGCAGATCTACGTTGCAGAAACTGCAGCTACAAGGCAAGTGTGTAAATCACTGGTCAAGGAAACGGGAATTTACCGAGCCAGGCTGAGGCTCCTACGAGGGAGAAGGCACACCCTGGCGTGCTAGAAATGATGGTGAAAATAAATGTATAGACCCTTCTGTAAAAAAAAAAACCTGAAAGTGAAAGCTAGCCAGGCAAGTACTTCTGAGAAGACAGGATAGAGAAAGGAAAAGAGGGGGAAAGGAAGAAAGAAAAAGAGAGAGCAGCCTTGGGTGAGCAGTTTTGGACTTCTGACACTCTCCAAGCAAGGAAGAGGCAGGTACCCTGCAAGCTGGCCTTCAAGGAAAATGGACCCCACCGCTCCAAGCTTTTCTCCAGGGAAGCCCTCAGTCCCCTGCCCCCCCTCCCCAAGCCATCCTTTCCCAAACAATCTGGACAAGAAGGTCAGTGCTCACTTCTCTCTGCTCCTTAGTTTTGTCGATTTTGCTCAGGCTGTAGCATCTCTTGTTCTCACTGGCACCAGTCCTTTACCATCCAGTAAAAGTGGCTTTTCCCCCTATCATATCTTCTGTTCCTGTTTGGCCTTATAAACATTTGTTTCTTTTCCTCATATGCAAGTCAGCCACCTACACAAAGAATCATTATGGGGGCAATTAGGTATCATTTTCAAGGGGGGAGATGACCTTGTTGCTAAAGGGAGAGAGGGACACCCTGTGGGGACATTGTGTAGACATTGTGTTCTGCCAGCTTTGGGTGTGGGAATTACAGATTGACCTTGCTTTTTAGTTTTCTGAGTTTTGCTACTCTTAAGCCCATTTTGATCAGGGGTAGATATATTATGATGTAGTTTTCAGTTCCTGCAAGATAGCTACTTTCCCTCCAATTGTAGGTATCAGTATTCCAAGAGCTATCAGGGATAAGGGGCTTGAGGCCCAAAGAGAGTGGCTTCAAGATTGTTGGTAGACCTCAACTATTCCAAGTCTCCAGACCCCCCAGTAAGTGCTCTACTCACTGAGTACTACATAAGCAGGAAAAGTTAACTAACAATCCAAGGCCCTTTCCAGGGCATGCCCCAGAGAAAAGGGAAGACAAGCTCTCAAGGGACTTAAAGAATAGGGGTAGCACTGACTGTAACCAGGGCTATCATTACTTAAACATTTTAGGGTGCTCTATGGCCGAGTCCTCAGGCAACTTAAAGCCAAGTCTGGTTTGGGAATTTCCCGGCCCAGATTCTAAGAGAGCCCAGGGAGAATCTCACTCATCCACCAATCTATAAGCAAAGCCATAAGCCCACACAGCAAAAGCAAAACACATACAAGCTCTGAGGGAAGGCCCCTTTCCTCCCCATTTTTTTTTTCATTTGATTTCCTTGACTTTCCTCCAGATGAATTTTTTTAGTATTTTTTCTAGCTCTCTAAAGTAATCCTTCGGTAGTTTGATTGGAATGACACTAAGTAGATTAATTTAGGTAGTATTGTCATTTTTATGATACTAGCTCAGCCTACTCAGGAGCAATGAGTATTTCTCCAGTTATTTAGATCTGTCTTTATTTGTTTGAAGAGTGTTTTGTAATTGTGTTCATACAGTTCTTGGGTTTGTTTTGGCAGGTAGACTCCCAAATATTTTACACTATTCATAGTTATTTTAAGTGGAATTTCTCTATTTCTTTTTCCTGGATTTTTTGGGGTGGTATACAGAAATGGGATGATTTGTGTGGGTTTATTTTCTATCCTGCAACTTTGCTGGGGGTTTTTTTTTAGTTGACTCTCTAGGGTTCTCTACCTAAACCATCATACCATCTGCAAAAAGTGGTAGTTTTGTTTCCTCTTTGTCTGTGCTTATTTCTTTAATTCCTTTGTCTTGTGTTATTGATACAGCCAGTGTTTCTAGTCCAATATTGAACAGTAATGGTGGTGGTGGACATCCTTGCTTTGCTCCTGATCTTATTGAAAAGGCATATAGCTTATCTCCATTAACTGGCTTTTGGTTTTAGATAAATACTGCTTATCATTTTAAGGGAAGTTCTGATTATTCCTATGCTCTCTAATGTTTTTAACAAGAATGGGGTTTGGTTTTTTGTCAAAAGTTTTTCTGCATCTATTGAAATCATCAAAATTTTCATTGTTTTTGTTATTAATATGATCAATTATGTTTATAGTTTTCCTAATATCGAACAAGCCCCACATTCCTGGTGTAAGTCTGGCATCTCTTTGGTTTAGTGATGGCAGTGTGTTGTCAGGTGATGTCTTGACTTGCTTGTGAATTAGATTTAAGTGAGGCAGAGATCCGAAAAGTCATCAGCCTCACTCTCTCTTCCAGAGTCATCCAAGTCCAGTGGCTAGACAAAAATCAAGACAACTGTCAATGGCCTGAGATATGGTGGATGACCTTGGTGTCTTAGATATCTGATCAAGTTCTAAGCACTCCATGGAGCCTGCTTCAGCTCCCTTCATGGCCATTAGAACAAATTGTTTTCATCTACCAATCGAGGTGTATGGGTGTTCAGGGAGGACTAGCCCCTCTGGTGTGAGGGCTTGCTGACCCATTTTCAGGGCTGCTCACCCACCTTTGTGTCCACCTGTCACCCACATCTCTCACCTGTGGCTCCAAGAAGCTGTAGCATAAGCAACAGCCACACTCTGGTTTAAAAAAAAAATCTCTGCAGACCAGGTTGAGAGTGAGTTAGGGGGATGTCTGCCCCAAGCATATGAAAGACTTCCCCTAGTGGAATGGGTTATAGCTTAGTGAGTTCGTAACTTTAGAGGTGGAAAGGACCTCAGAGGTCATTTATTTCAACTTTCTTATTTTATTTTTTTAATTTTTAATTTTTTGACTTGTGAGCTAGGGGCTAGATTTCAATCAAGAAAGATCCAGGGTTCTTAACCTGTGGTCAGTGAACTTGTTTTATGTGTGTGTGTGTGTGTGTGTGTGTGTGTGTATATACGTATATATACACACACACATATACATAGAGAGAACTGTAATTCAAAATAGTTTGTTTTCTTTGTAATCCTATGTATTTTATGCTATGCATTTAAAAACTTCATTCTGCGAAGGATTTCTGAGTAGGTTTCACTGGACTGCCAAAGGGAAGGTCTATAACACAAACAAGAACTTTTGCTTTAGAGGGAAGAGTGAGGGAATTTTAGGGATTTAGGGTGGGGAGCGGGTGGGGAGGGTGAACAGGTTGAGCAAGACTCTGGAGTCAGGAACCTCAGATAAGGAGTTGTCTTGTTTGGCTGAGCAACAAGGCAGAAGTGTTAAGAGAAAGCAGGACATGGAGTTTGAGGTCAGATACATTCAAAAACAGAAAACCAGAGCCTCAGTAAGTCATTGGCTTGCTGGCTCTCCTGAGCCCCACTCAGGAAGCCTGCAATGCCCTGGGGATTTAGACCATATGGCTTCCCCCAAATGGCCTGATCCCTCCAAAGAGCATCTCTTGGAATGTTCTTGCCTTTCTCCCCCTAAGTCCCACTTGACTCATTTTTCACCCCTCTGCTTTGCCCAGCCATATCCCTCACTTTCTCTTAGGCTCAGGCCTCCACAAAAAGCAAACAAACAAATAACTTTCCAGATTTATGATACTCAGTTCTGAACAATGGATTTTAAAAGGGATACTGACAAATGGGAGCATGTCAAGAATCAGGGGACTGGGATGGTGAGGGAACTGAAGACCATGTCATATGAGAATGATTTAAGGAACTAAGGCAGTTCAGCCTAGAAAAGAGAAGACTTGGAGATTTGGTAGCTCTTTCAAATATCTTTGGACGGGGGTCATGTGGAAGAGGGAATAGACTTTATCTTAGTGACTGTAGAGGTTTGAGGTCAGAACTCGGATCAAAAGACAGACATTGTAGGAACTATTTCTTTTTTGTCTCTGAATTCACTGTGCCTACCATGGTGTTTGGCTTGTAACATCTTATTTTTCTTTCCCTTTTTGGTGAGGCAGTCGGGGTTAAGTGACTCACCCAGGGTCACACAGCTAGTGTCAAGTATCTGAGGCCAGATTTGAACTTAGGTCCTCCTGACTCCAAGGCTGGAGCTCTATCCACTGTGCTACCTAGCTGCCCCCTCTTATTTTATTAGAAGAGGAAACTGAGACCCAAAGAGGGAAAATCACTTGCCATTGGGCATAGTATCACTATGTAAGTGGCAGAGCTGGGATTTGAATCCAGATCTTCTCACTTGTAATCCAGCATTCTTTCCACTGTGCTTAGACATGATCTTTTCTGGCAACAATCTTTGCCAGCTCACCTCCCCAAATGAGCATTTTTAAAAAATGATGTTGTCTCAGATGACTTCAGGTCCTACAGCAGCTATCCCTGTGGTTCTCATATGGATCTAGAGCTGGAAGGTCAGATTGAGGCTATTTGAAGAAACTGAGGCCCAGAGAGAAGTGACTTGTTTTTTTTTTGTTTTTTGTTTTTGGCAATTGGGGTTAAGTGACTTGCCCAGGGTCACACAGCTAGTAAGTGTCAAGTGTTTGATCTGAGGCCAGGTTTGAACTCAGGTACTCCTGACTTCAGGGCCGGTGCTCTATCCACTGAGCCACCTAGCTGCCCTGAGAAGTGACTTGTTCAACATCACTTAGGTAGGAAGCATTCTATTATTTCCTAGTAGGAGGAAAGAGGACATAAAGCCAATAGCACCTTATTGTGTTAGGCTACAGCTAGAGTACACCATAGTGGAGAGAGCTCCAGGCCTGGAGTCAGGAAGATTTGAATTCAAATCCAGCCTCAGACACTTACTAGCTGTGTGGCCCCGGGCAAGTCACTTCTACTCTGTCTTCCTCAGTGTCCTCAACTATAAAATGGGGTAATAATAGCACCTATCCTGAAATAGCTTGCTGTTATTGTTAGAGTGTGTTCTACTGCGTAGCCTGTTGGTTGACTTTTATTTGAACCCCTTTTTCATTGCAATGAACTTCCCCCCCCTTTTTTTTTTTTTACTTTTCAATGGCTCCCCTGCCCCAGTATACATCTATGAGGTTGGCTTTTGACTGAATTTAATTAATTACTTCACAGCATCAGCCAATACCGGGACAAACTAAATCCAATAAGTCACTTGTCACAATCTGTTCATCTTTGGCTTGTTCATTTGTCTGGGAGCCCTTTCCAATCTGTGCTCCGTGGGAATCTTCAAGCTGCCAGCCCAGCCCACCCCGGGCGTGCTCAAAACGAGCTCCCGCTGCATCCCACCAGCACAGAGCTTGTTCTGGGAAGTCCTGCGGAAAGTGGAGAACAGATTTGGCAAAGTCAGTGTGGGCCAGTGCTTGTCTTTCCTGCCTTTTCCTATGATCTCTTCCTTCCTCTTGTCTGGCTCAAGCTTGGCTTGCTTGCGTAAGGCAACTGAGGTATTCGTGAAAACAAGAAGAGCCCTGCAGCTGGAAAAGGTTCCAACTTTGCTTCTAGCTTCCCTTTCCTACTCCAGCTCCTCCAGGGGCTGCTCTTCATGGCAAAGAGTTGCTCTAGGCTCCTTGGTGCTGCTGGCTTTGTCCTGGGAAACTTGCGGGGCTTTTGACCAATCTCAGAACAGTTTTCTTTTTTGTGAATGAATCAAGAGAACTTTATGGGAGAATAAACATCCCTCTGGCTTAGAATCTGCATTCTTCCCAAAATGAAGGAAGGCATACAGCTCCTGCTCTTGGCCAGCTTTCTCCTCTGTCTCCCAAAAGAGAGCATCTGTGCTACCCGGAGATACTACATCGGGGCTGTCGAGCTGTACTGGGACTACAGGAGAAGTGAGCTGCTCAACACTGTGAGCCTGGAGCGAGGGTAAAGTCTTGGTGTCTGCTTTTTTCTGTTTGGGGGCCTGAAAGGTTGCATCAGGCGAAGGCTGGTCAGGACTCCTTTGCTTTGAGTGATGGGTGGACTGGCACGCATGTCAGTCATGTTGCAAAAGCCAAATGCCGATGTAGATTTCCACTGTTGGGTGGGCCGTGTGTTTCTTTGAATGCCTAGTGGCCAGGGGTGGGGAACCTTCAGCCTTGAGGCCACATGTGGCCCTCTAGGTCCTCAAGTTCAGCCTTTTGGCTGAGTCCAAGTTTTAACTGAACCAAGTCAAACCAAGTTTGACTGAATCCAAACTTCACAGAACAAATCCCCTTAATAAAAGGATTTGTTCGTTAAAATTTGGACTCAGTCAAAAGGCCACACTTGAGGACCTAGAGGGTCATGTGTGGCTTCGAGGCCACAGGTTGCCCACCCCTGGATAGCCTGTTCAGGTCAGTGGAGATCTTCTTTGCAGTGGTGACTGAATGAAAAGTGGCTTTCATGGTTGTCGGTATTTCCCTGAGGGTTTGCTCACTGGCATTGTTAACTACCACTTTCTTTTTTTCCTTTTTTTCTTTTCTTTTTTTTTTTTTTTTCATGGTGAGGCAATTGGGGTTGAGTGACTTGCCCAGAGTCACACAGCTAGGAAGTATTATGTGTCTGAGGCCAGATTTGAACTCAGGTCCTCCTGACTCTAGGGCCAGTGCTCTATCCACTGCGCCACCTAGCTGCCACCACTTACTTTCTTTAGAAAGCAAACTTGTACTTGTCTAGCCTCCCTCTCTACCCTCTCTCTCCATACTCCCACAATCTCAAACCCTCTTGCAAATGATCATTCTACCCCAGCACTTGGCACATTATGGACACCCCAATATTTGTCACATTCTGTTGAACTGGCAGCAATCAATTCATTAATCATTAGTCAAAAGTCATTTCTAGCCCATTCCTGTGGGGCACACACCCTTGGTTCTTGGGTCTTGTATGTTGTCTTCCTAGTTCGGAACTGGACTAAAAGAGCCACTGAGGCCCCTTCCAACTCTCATATTCTGTGGCCTGAAATGTTCTTCCCTTTGGAATGCTAGAAAGAATGGTGTCTCTGAAGCTAGAGGCATTGGGTCCATACCCTGGCTCTGTCACTTCTTACCCATATAACCCTAGGCAAGTTCCTTCCCCTCTCTGGGCCTCAGTTTCCTTACATGTAAAATGAGGGAGCTAGACTCAGTGATTTCAAAGGTCCTTCCAGATCAATGTCTAAGACCCTGCCGCAGCTCTGTTCTTGTTTGCTGAGTGCTTGTTCTGTGTAAGGTGTGTGCTAGGGAGAGAAAGCAGATCTGTCTTCAGAGGGCTTTCAGTCTGCTGGGGGGAGGGAAGTCATGTACATCAGTGCCTGCAATCCAGGGCAGAATGTGATGGATACCACAAAAAAAAGTGCAAACACAGGAACTTCCAAGAAAGTAGAGACCTTGGGAAGACGTGTCATCCTGGAAAGTCTTCCTGGAGGAGGAGAGGCATGTATAGGGCTTGTGAGTTATGGGCTAGATTTGAACCAAGAAAGATACAGAGTTCTTAACCTCTGGTCAGTGGGCTTGTTTATATATATATATATATATATATATATATATATATATATATATATATATTATAATATATATATATATATATATATATATATATATTATATAAATATTATACACATAGAGCGAACTGTATTTCAAAATAGTTTGTTTCCTTTGTAATCCTATGTATTTTATGCTATGCATTTAAAAACTTCATTCTGCGAAGGATTTCTGAGTAGGTTTCACTGGACTGCCAAAGGGAAGGTCTATAACACAAACAAGAACTTTTGCTTTAGAGGGAAGAGTGAGGGAATTTTAGGGATTTAGGGTGGGGAGCGGGTGGGGAGGGTGAACAGGTTGAGCAAGACTCTGGAGTCAGGAACCTCAGATAAGGAGTTGTCTTGTTTGGCTGAGCAACAAGGCAGAAGTGTTAAGAGAAAGCAGGACATGGAGTTTGAGGTCAGATACATTCAAAAACAGAAAACCAGAGCCTCAGTAAGTCATTGGCTTGCTGGCTCTCCTGAGCCCCACTCAGGAAGCCTGCAATGCCCTGGGGATTTAGACCATATGGCTTCCCCCAAATGGCCTGATCCCTCCAAAGAGCATCTCTTGGAATGTTCTTGCCTTTCTCCCCCTAAGTCCCACTTGACTCATTTTTCACCCCTCTGCTTTGCCCAGCCATATCCCTCACTTTCTCTTAGGCTCAGGCCTCCACAAAAAGCAAACAAACAAATAACTTTCCAGATTTATGATACTCAGTTCTGAACAATGGATTTTAAAAGGGGATACTGACAAATGGGAGCATGTCAAGAATCAGGGGGACTGGGATGGTGAGGGAACTGAAGACCATGTCATATGAGAATGATTTAAGGAACTAAGGCAGTTCAGCCTAGAAAAGAGAAGACTTGGAGATTTGGTAGCTCTTTCAAATATCTTTGGACGGGGGTCATGTGGAAGAGGGAATAGACTTCATCTTAGTGACTGTAGAGGTTTGAGGTCAGAACTCGGATCAAAAGACAGACATTGTAGGAACTATTTCTTTTTTGTCTCTGAATTCACTGTGCCTACCATGGTGTTTGGCTTGTAACATCTTATTTTTCTTTCCCTTTTTGGTGAGGCAGTCGGGGTTAAGTGACTCACCCAGGGTCACACAGCTAGTGTCAAGTATCTGAGGCCAGATTTGAACTTAGGTCCTCCTGACTCCAAGGCTGGAGCTCTATCCACTGTGCCACCTAGCTGCCCCTGGCATGTAACATCTTAAGAAATGTTTGTTGATTGACTCGTTGAAGTTACAAGAAAAAGCACTAGGCTCAAGGAAGGAAACTAAGAAAGCCGAAGTACACTCCCTGTTCCTGGGGGTGTACAAGCAAAGGCCAGGCAAGGAAGTTATAGAAAAGATTCTTTTTAATAAATTTTTATTTATGACTGTTGTTTTTATATCACTTTCACTTTTTAGTTACAAAAACATCATTTATATTAGTTATAAATAAAATTAGTTATTAGTTAACTATAAGTATACACACACACACACATATTAGTGACTGTATCTTTGTTTTACACTTGAAACTATTTTTAACAGAGATGCTTGTGGTCACAATGTTCGTATTAAATTTTAAAGTGTTTTCATTATTATCACTTTCATTTCTTCCCATATCTCTCCTCAACCTGGAGAATCATCTCTTATAACAAAGAATAGAAAATGAGAAAAAAAGCAGTTTGGCCAAAGTAACCAGGATATCAGTCAAGCCCGACAGGACATACTGTTCCACTGCCAGAATCTCCCAGGAAGGGAGGGAGGCTATTCTTATCTCTCTTCTTTAGGGTCACCTGGTCATCAGAATGATACAGCATTTAAGTCTGGTTGCTTTCTTGTTCTTTCCATTTACCTTATTCAAGGTGTTGCATGTATTGTTTTCCCAGGTTTGCCTGCTTCACTTTGCATCAGCTTGTAGAAATCTTCCCGTGCTGCCGTATTTTTCATTAAGCTGCTTCCATCGCATCCATACACCACAATTTATTCAGATAGTCCCCAATTAATTAATTGACCTTGTTTCCAGTTCTTAGCTCTTACAAAAAATGCTTCTGTGAATATTTGGGTTTCTATGGATCTTTTCTGGTTTTGGCCTTCTTGGGGTATAGGCATAGTAGCAGGGTCTGAGTCAATTTTAGCCGTTTTAGACTTTCTTATTGTAGTTCCAAATTGCTTTCCAGAATGGTTAGGACCAATTCTCAACTCCACCAATAATGCTTTAACATGCCTGGTTTTCCATAGCTCCAAAGAGGGTTTTCTTGCATCAGCTCCTGCATCATCATCCTTGGGAACATGTAAATACTTCCCTCCATCCCTTTTCTGGGTCCTAACTGATGCAATCATCAGAGCCTGTGGCTGCCAGGCACCCAACTTCAATCAGACCCTGATGTTCACTGTTCAGTAGGTGTAAGTATCTCTGCTTTTTTTTGGGGGGGGGGCGGGACTCTATTCTCCTGTTGCTCTTCCTTGTTCTTGTTCTGGAGAGTCATAATGAACCTTAAGTAAGATTTTTTTTCCCTTGCCTTTTGATGAATCCACAAAAACCTTTGACAACAGTCATCTTGGCCCCCTTTCAAGCCTTCATTAGATTCAGTTTAGGGATCCCGAGCGCTAGGGAAAAGGGAGACAAATGACAAAATGTTCCTGGCACTGAAAGGCCTGTCCTTTTCTTTTCCGGGTTTTTGTTGTTTGGGGACTTCTCTTCTGATCACATATGAAAAGGTTCTGCCAAAAGTATGCGGGACCAGTGTCCTTGCTTTGAACTCTTATTTCATATCTGATTGGAAACCAATTTGAATCCCCATTGCATTATCTGATTCTGTCTTGCTAACAATGCTTCAGGCTGGGTCCAGAGCCAGCCCTTCCTGTTAATCAGTATCAAAATGATTTGGTTCATTAAAATGAATGATCAGAAAACAAATCCCAACATCTCCCTATAGGCTGACATTGAAGGCATGTGTGTATTTAACATAATATCAGATATCCAAGTGAAAATTGAACCATGTAGTTTATCATTCATATAGTTCCAAATGTCTTAGTGCTTGATGTTATTCAACTGTCTGATATTCAATTGTATTTTTCCCACACAGCTTTTAAAATCTTATGAATGGAGGTGATCGACATTACTGTCCTCTTCTCTGGTCAGATCAATTTGTTTGGTTCTGTGCACCATATTTTAAGAATGACTGAAGAGTGTCCAGAGGAGGGCATCCAGGATGGTGGAGGGACTTGAGATCATGATGGAAATGAGGCTCAATCGAAGGATCTGGGGATGTTTAGTTTGGAAAAGAAACTAGGGGGGTGGGTGTGTAAGGACAGTATATACACATGAGGATCTGAAGGGTTATCAGTGAAGGACTTGCTTAGCCTTGTGCTGCTTGGCTTCGTTGGGAACAGCTGGAGAAAACACAACAGAA